GTGGTGGAAGTGGTGGTGGTGGTGGTAGTGGTAGTGGGCGCGGGTATGGAGGAGAAGGTGGATGTGGGTGGTACGGATACGGACACCGATGTATTGATTGTGAGGGGATTGATGGGCGCCGAAGTTGTTGTCATTGGCATGGCTGTTGATGGGAAGATTGAATCCAAGTGAGAAAGATCTGAACTTTTCATCCACGCTTTGTTTTGTTTTGTTTTCAACCACGTTAACGGGAAAAGGTATGGATATTTAATTTCCCTGGTAGTTCCCCTTTTCTCGCCCACGAATTCACCAAGTGACAAGAGGTGACAACGACCAAACAACAAAAAGAAAGGAATGGAAAAAACATAAGAAAAGAAAACAAGAAACAAAGAATGTTGAAAGCCAAATGGTGTACCTGTGTTTCCCAACGTAACAGGTGATATTCCATTCGGGATATTAATCTTTGCTCCAGGCACCAACATCCCCTGTGCGTGCGGTTGAGGTGCATGAGGTGATGGTTGTTGATGTTGATGCGACAATGGATGCATTGGTGGTGGACGTGCTAAAGGGTGCTGTACAAGTTGGGGTACCTGGGCCGTCACCGGGGAAATAGGGTTCGGATACGGCACAGCATGAAACGGAGACGGAGGCCCTGTCGGTGGGCCCGGCGGTGGATGCCCCAAAGCAGAAATAAAAGCAGAAGAAGAGGAAGGTGGAGGAGGAATCGTAAGACCCATAGGGATACGAAGGGCGTGTGGTGGTGGTGCTGCTGGTCCCGCCGAATGATGCCGCGAAGGGATAGGGAACGGGTTTGATCCAGACACAGCTACCGTCGGGGATATTGGCGCCGGGACAGCGGCGGATGACGGGAGCAAGGAGGCGATATGAGGCGAGGTAGTTGCGGCGGTTCCGAGGGTACTTGTTGGGATGCCCATGCCCAACAGCAAATCGGGTGGGAAGGCATTTGTTGGCGTTGTAATGGTGTTGGCTGTGCTCGTCGTGGTGTTGATTGTAGGAGCAGAAGACGCGGTCGATACGTCAGGAAAGCCCAAAGAGTAGAGAGCTTGTGAGACTGGGTTGTCCATCACAAAACCTTTCGCCGTGGTCTCCGCCGTGGTTGGCCGTTCAGGCTGCGTCTGTTTAGTGAGGTATGACTCAGTCGATCACAGCTTTTCAAGGACAAGAAAATAAAGCGAGAAGGAAGAAGGAAACACGGTGAGCAGGCAAGAAAAGCGAAGTTAGCAAGTACACACAGAGAAGCGCGACCATCAGAGCAGAGAAAGAAACTATTGCCCTTCCCCTGGCCAGCTCCAAAAGAAGAAGACTAAAGTAGGAGGAGGAGAGTAACGCGCTCCGATCTAACAAGCAAAGTTAACTTCCAAGTCGATACACACCTTGATCGTGGGCATTCACGAAAAGCGGAGGTACTTGCAAGTTTTCCACCGTAGAGTGTAGTGCCAGTAGGGAAAATGACTGTTTCCGGCAAGTACGAAGAAGATACGACACCGGTTGATCGCGAGCCAAAGATCAAGAGGAAACCGGGTGGTTATGTTGAACTGGCGATGGGGGAAAACTACTCTTGTGTTTGGGAGCGCTGCTGTTTGAACATGACCTGTTACTGGTGGTGTCGCACGGTTTCTCTTGCAAGTAACTTAGTTTGATTGGCAGGCGAAGGCGACAAGTGGCGACCGCAGTAGTTAAGAGAGACGAGAGCGCGGTCGGGCAGGGAGTTTCGTAATTTTAATGGCTGCTGAAGAGCAAATGTTTTTGTTTGTTTCTGTGTCTGTGTTTGAGGGAAGGAGTTGGGGTTTGGGGGGTGGATTAAGGAAGTTGATTACGGAAGTGATGGTCAGCGCATGAGCACAACAGGGACAAGGAGAGCGAGAGAGAGAAAAAGAGAAGAGAAGCGGGTTGTTCGCGACTAGCTGACTTACCAAGTCTAAGTAGTCGCGTTCAACTTCATAGGTAGAGGTATATGTTTCCGCCGACGGGGCGGTTTTTGGTTTGAAAGTAGTTCTGGTTTGTCCGACTGTTACCACACAACACACGCAGGTTACCTCAGGTTACCATACATCGAAGGGAGACACAGTCATCCACTCAGTCATCCCTCCAAGCAGACGGTACCAGTGACCACACACACGCTCTGGGCACTTGCCACTGAGTACTATAGCTGCCTTTTTCAGGTTCTCTCAAGTACCACACCTACCTACCTGTAGCTAACTAACCAACTAACTACTTTATGAGAAGAGAGATTCCCCTAGTCAGTTAGTTCCCTAGCTGTAGCATTGCGCATACTACTAACTAACTACTTCATGTATTTGATGCCATCTAGTAAATGCTTCTAATCCTTCCTTCACTTGAAGTCTTCACTTCCAGTAAACAAAAGCGCAGACTGAGTATTTCTTAGTCAAAAGCGGAACTTGGAATTAAACTATTTCCACCTACCGAAGTAATTACCGGAACTTAACTTGCAAACCCGTCGTCCGATCGCATTTTGCCCTCGACCCTTTTCCGCCAAACGCCAAAGAAAGCAAACCCGATCCCATGGTCCTGGGTTTCACTCATACTTGCTCATCTCTCATCTCTTCATTCCATGCCCATGCCCATGCTCCCCAGCCATGCCCACATGCCCACATGTCGAAAAACACAAATCTTTGTGCTACCCAAAAAGTGTTTGGAATTATTGACGAACGTCGTACAATGGAATTGGATTTTTGATTCTAAAAAAGACTGGGAATGTTGCCATGCGACCTCTGTGGATTGAACACAGGACCTTTAAATCTTCAGTCTAACCCTCTCCCATCGAAAACCATATACATGAACGCCACTGATGGAAATAATTAATCTTGCCCAGTATCGCATTTTTGAGGTTGATGGCGTCGAGGATCCAGGAAAGTGCTTCTTTGTTCTGGTCTATTGTTCATTGAACTTGAATGCTCTCTCCTCTCCCAACGCGGCGCGTTTCGGGTTTTCAAAATGTGCTCAGATGACCTCTAATTATTCATTTTGGGACCTGCCACTGCTTTTAATTTACTGTAAACGAACTTTTGAATAGACTTGAACACTAGTACTTTGAGCGGCAAAAGGAAAGAAAAAAAGGATAAAGTCAAATGTCTTCTCACGTCTTCTACGTTCATAAATAATTACTGTAAATCCTCCCCAAATTAATTAAGAAAGAAAAAAGAGTTCCCTAAATAAATATCTTCATCAAGCCTCCAACGCCAACTCCATATGCTTCCTCTTCTTCCTCTCCTCAGCCGCCTCCCTCGCAATCTCCGTCAACTTCTTCGCCGCCGCCGGCCCCGTATTCTCCACCAACCCCTTGAATATCCCCTCCTTATACTCTGGATCCTCCAACAACTTGATCGGTTCATCAAACTCCACACAATGACCCGCATCCATCACAAGAACACGGTCAGACTCGATAATGGTGTTGAGACGGTGAGCGATGGTGAGGACGGTCAGGTCGCTGAAAGCCACTTTGATCGCGTTTTGGATCATCAGGTCGGTTTGCATGTCGATGGCGGCGGTGGCTTCGTCGAGGACGAGAATGCGGGTCCGAGCGAGGATGGCACGGGCAATACAGAAGCATTGACGTTGACCGAGCGAAAAGTTAGAACCGTTCTCAATGACTGCACTGTCCAGTTTCCCCGGCATAGACCGAATCACATCACCCAACTGCACAGCATCCAAAGCCTTCCAAATCTCCTCATCCGTACTCTTGCTGAACGGATCCAAATTCGACCTAATAGACCCAACAAACATCACAGGCTCTTGCGGAATAATCGCAATAGACTTTCTCAAATCCGCTAACCCAATCTGACTCACATCCACTCCATCAATCATAATCTTCCCCTCCGCCGCTTCCACGATCCTCAATAAACTGATGAGCAAGGTACTCTTCCCCGACCCAGTTCTCCCAACAATCCCGATTTTTTCGCGGGGTTTGATGGTGAAGGTAATGTTTTTCAGAACCGCGACACCGAATTTCTGGTACCGCAAGACAACGTTCTCGAAATCGATTTGTCCGTGGGGGGGCCAGGTGGGTGGGGGTTTCTTGTCGGGGATCTCGGCGGGTGCTTCGGACTCGATGTCGGCGTAGTAGATGACTTGCCCCACAGAAACCATTTGGGCTTGGACGTCACCCCACATGCGGACGGACCATTGCACGAAGACGAGCATCTGAAGTGCGTTGGAGAGCGCGAGACCGGCGATGGAGTCCATTTGAGGGACGTCGGTGTTGAGGACGACGAGGAGGGAGGAGAAGTACACGATTAGGGAGGAGAGGATGTCGAGGTAGAGGGCTTGGAAGGATTTGGAGACCATCATCGCGAAGAGAGCCTCGTGGTTGCGGTCGACCTTTTCGATGTTGAGGGCGTCGAAGCGGGCTTGAGCTCCATATGCGCGAATGCTGAACAGACCTTCAAGCGTCGCGCTCATGTGTGCGAAAACGGGCGGCTTGGTCAGGGCTTCCAACGCTTTGGTCTTCTCAATCGACGGGTTCGTGAATTTCACAACACCAAAAGCGACGATCATCAATCCAAGGCACGGAGCCCAGTTCCACGGGATCAAAAAGGCACTCAAAAACAGAGCACCCAACCCAAGCGGAACATACTGCAACAACTGCATCCCCGCATCAGCCATGGTGTCGTCAATATGCAGCAAGTGCTTCGAGAAGGCAGAAAGAATACGACCGAGGGGTGTCTTGTCAAAGAAGGACATGGGTGCACGGAGAACGGCGTTGAAGATGTTGTTGTGGAGTTCGATGGATTTGCCGACACAGTCGTAGGCGAAGAGGACACCACGGGCCAGGACACCGAATCCGAAGAGGAGAATGAAGAGGGCGTATATACCGATGTACACGGCGTCGCTGTAACCGCCGACTTTCGGAACCCAGAGACGGAGCCAGTAGTCTGTGAAAAAATAAACAGGGAAGAACAAGGTTAGAATATGGCGTCAACCTTCACCGGAACAGATCACCCAGAAAAAGAAAAAGGACGGCTGATTCCCACAAACGCGTCAACTTACCAGAACCAATCCGAATCCCGTGAACAATAAAGAAGAAGACATAAATCGACACCGAAACAGTCATCCCACGGTACGCATCAAAGTACGAGACAAAATCCCGAAACCCAGTTTTCTGTGCACTAGCGTCTTCCTGAACCAATTTCCCACGCTGCGCATCCTCAGCCGCATCATCTTCATCATCGTCCTCAACGTCTTCTACCGCAATCTCGCTCATCGAGTACACGGACATTTCATTCTGCTTGATGATTTCGGCAATATCGGGAGAGGTGCCGGCGGGGGTGTTGGTGGAGATTGTAAGTTGGTTGCGTTCGATCATGGAGGAAAGGCGCTTTTCGTCGATTTCTTTCCAGGATCGAACGGTGAGTTGGTTGAGTTCAGATAGGCGTTTCGGTTCCTTCTTTGGCTGTTCTTTCACCTCAAGCTGTGCGTCTCCGGATCCGGCGTCAATATCGATAGCCCAAGAAGGTGCGTCTTTCGGCTTATCTTCATCTTCCGGAATCTTAAAGTCCGGGTCATTCACAACATCCGATTCATCGTCTTGATCGCCTTGCTCCCCGCTCGCAACGTGGTTGTTGATGAGCTCGGAGAAGTGCGAAATTTCCATGAGTTGTTGGTAAGTTCCTTGCATCGCGATCTTGCCGTTCTTGACGCAGACGACCCAGTCCATTTGAGGGAGGTATTGGAGTTGGTGGAGAGCGCAGACGACGGTTTTGTGTTTTAGGAAACCCATGAAGCATTCGTCGAAGATGTGACGACCGACGGCTTGGTCGACGGCGGAGATTGGATCGTCTAATTTGGAATACAAATCAACAAGGAATAACATTAGTGAATACGTGCTATCAAAGTTGAAAACCCAAAACAAAAAAAACGACCAAGTTTTGCATTGACGGATATCTTACCAAGAAGAATAATATCAGCGTCATTATAAACCGCCCTAGCAAGCGACACCCTCTGCCTCTGCCCCCCCGACAAATTCGCCCCCCTCTCCGCAATCTCAGTCCTATCCCCCGCAATCAACAATCCCAAATCCCTCTGCAACGAGCAAACCCGCACCACCTCCTTATACCGCTTCTTATCATACTCCATCCCAAACAAGATATTATCACGCAAAGTCGTGTTGAGCAACCAGGCTTGTTGGGGGACGTAGCTGGTGCGGCCGTAGATTTTGAGACGGTCACCACCGACTTGACGGATTTGACCGAGGAGGGCTGCGAGGAGAGAGGATTTGCCGCTGCCGACGTCACCGATGAGAGCGATTTTTTGGCCTTTGCGGGCGGTGAGGCTTATTTTGGTGAGGGTGGGGGTTGAGGTTTCGGCACCGTCCCATTTGAAGTCGGCGTCGACCTATTGTGCGGAGAGAGAGGGGTTTGTGTTGGTTGTTATTCGTTGCAGGACAGTGAATCGCGGTTTTCGAGATAAAAACACGCTGTAGAATTGAGGCGAAACGATGATCAGGCTAGGTGGGTAAGTACGTACCATTTCGAAAGCCAAGTCATCCTTAGCTGGTGAAATATCCAACTTCTCCACCTCCTCCAGTGTGAAGTATTTGTCAAGGCGTTGCAAAGCAGTCCACGCACCCGCCGCAGCTTTCACAGCAACAGGCAACAACAAAAACGGGTACCGCAAAGTATTGTAAACAGACAACACAGTAAACGACAACGACGCCGTCAGCTTATTCCCCAACCCAATATACATCCCCAAAGACGCCAGAGCAGTCCACACCGGCACCGCAAAAACAATCATAAAATTCGTAGCCTTCAGCACCATCCCCTTCCGAACCATCCCCATCTCCTTCTCCCTAAGCTCATTAATCTTTTCAGAGAAGGGTTTCTCCCAGGCGTAGAACTTGATCAACTTGATGGCGGTGAGGATCTCGGACATGATGTGAACACGTTCGGTTGTGAGGCGGGTTTGCTCGCGGTTGATGTCTGATGTGATTTTGCCGAGGTAGATTTGGACGGGGGTGAGGAGGAGGACGAAGCCGAGGCAGGGGAGGGCGGAGATGCCGACTTCGGAGAAGGCCATGATGATGATGGCGATTGCTTCCAGGAAGGCGGACCAGAGAAAGTGGAAGTTGACGACGGCGTCTAAGATGCGGGTGACATCGGTTGAAAGGATCTGTTTTTCCACAAATACAAATACAAGGTAGAGGTATTAGATGCGCGGTTATGGGATATCTGGTTTTGAAAAAAAAAGGCGAATGGACTGAAATAGGGAGCAATGCGAGCTCAGAATACTTACGTTGATAACCTCACCAGCCCCACCTCTCACACGCGACAAAGCAAGAGATTTCCTATAAACCATAACCTGCAACGCCGCCTTAATTTGGATCCCAATCCTATTGCATTCCCCATACAACTGATGGATCGCGATAGACGAAAACAAAGCCGACAACCCCAACGCAACAGCGATCGCGTGACCTTGACTGTCAGGAACTTGGCCCTTGGCGTTCTTTGGGATGAATTCGAGCATGATCTTCAGGAAGTAGTAGGCACACAACCAGGTGAAGATGGCCCATACGATCTTGTAGATACCAACGATGGCGTAGGAGATACCGTAGGCGGCGACCAGAGTTCGAGTGACGGAGGGTTTGCTGTGGGAATGTATTTTTCCGAACCGTGGGCGTGAATGCGATTAGATCCCCGCATCAACCATCGGAAACAGATCAACTCCATCACCCTCGCAAGTCCATCATAATCAAACACATCTCACACACATAACTCACCTCGGATTCTTCTTCACCTCCTCATTCCACGCAGCCTGGAACTTATCACCATTGAACCGTGCCGATTCCCATTTG